AGCCACCTGGTTCCTTAGCCATCCCCACCAGGTTCTGACCCTTCTATAAACATCCCAAAACCTCTGATAGCGCTTCCTTTCGGGGCGTAGTCTCGCCCCTGCACGTCTACGCCAATGCGCGTATTTGCGCCCTTCCTTGCACTCGATTATTGCCCGTCCCAGGACCATCTTCTCGTACGCTCTTGCGCATATTACCACTTGCACGTTCGCCTGCTCACGGCCATCCCAAGTGCGCGCTGTCCACCCAACATCCACCCCTCGCACACCGCTCGTCTCTTCTGCAATGTAAATGCCCAAGGCCTTAGCCTCCAAGTGTCGTGCGCGCCGCTCCTTCGCGCACGCCTTGCACCAGTCGACCGAGTTACCCGAGCCCGCTATCGTACATTCGGCCCTGGCCCATTGCGCATAGTCTTTCCTCCATTGCCCTAATGTTGCACGCCGATGGACTACCTTCTCGCGTGCCCTTGCACACATCCATGCGCTCGACCCTTCAAGCCTTGATCTCCCGAGCCTCTTGCTCGACCTCCTATGCCATTGTGCACGTCGGACCCTCGTATACGGGCTCGTGCACGTTTCCTAGGTCATGCAAGCCTTGTTCCAGCCCTTTGCTTGGCCTTCTCGGATAGTATCGGCCTTCGGACCTTCTCATCTTCGGGGCTCAAAACCCACTTCCGCATCACTCTGGCAGCAGTGCACAGGGCCCGACAGACAAGCAGGGTTTTAAATAGGACCAACCGATTTCAAAAAGTACTCGACCAATTCACTTGAAATTTTTACACATTAAAATAGACCCAGAAAGACATATTTTCACAAAGTTTCAGACTCAATACTTCTGTTTAACTTAAGCAACCAATTTTTACAAAAAGACGATGAAAATCTAAACTTTCTAGTTCACCGGGTAATCCTTTGAATTTTTCAACGAAATTTAAACAAAACACATTTAACATAATATTAATAACACTCACCAAATATCAAAGCAAAACACCAAGAGTCCGATTTTTAATGATTTTTCAAAGTTTCTGCCCAGAATTTCAAATCGACATTTGACATAGCTACAGACATCATTTTGACTTTAAATTTTTACACCACATAAAATATCATAAGAAGGTCATAGAGTTCAAATCGCACAGCAATCGGACGAACAAACGATTTGTGATGATTTTTGTAAAAATCATCAGCAACTCCCGATTAAAAAAATACATATTGTAATATCCCAACTTTTCTCAGTATAATAATATTTCAGTTCCGATATTATTTTTTTTCGGAATCAATTATTTTCAGTTATTTCAGTCAAAATTACCGGAAAATATTTTCGACGTACCGTTTACGTTCGGAATAATTTTGGTAATTTAGCATTATGTTTAATTGGATAATTAAACATAATTAGGTGATTAATTTAACTTAATCACGAGATTAGCTAATTGTTCGGATTTTATTCCGAGTTCATGTTCATAGCCGTGCATTGTTCGTAAATGTCGTGCAAGTGATAGCATATTTTTCAAGTCATGCATTTTGACGTGTGTTGAGGTGCATTGTTCGAGTTCATGCGAGTGTCGTGCGCGCGTGTTCGTCCGGGAGAAGACCGTGTGCGCGGGTTCGGTCCGAGAAACTATGAATGTCGTGCGTACCTTAGTGGACGGAGTGTCCAAGACTCGAGTTATCCGCGCCAACATCTCGCTAAGAAGACCGTGCACACCCCTTGTCCGTATGCATGGGCGGAGTGACCAAGACCGCGTGAGTGTCCGTGCCTTGTCCTCTTATGCGTGGGTTTTGGTGAGTTCAGCCTTAATTTCCGTGCATCTTCCTTGGCTTTTAGTGAATGAATATCCGTGCGCCTTTTGTCCCTTAA